ACTAAAATAAAGAAAATTACTGACTAGTTAGTTAGAGGCCTATTTTGTATATCATAAAAAATTTAATCATAATGTTTTAACTGTCTCAGCTAAGGCCTCCGAATCTCCAATTTTTATATCAAAACTCAATATCACAATTCATTTACTAAATAATGCCATTATATTTTATTGAGCAAAGTTATTGAGCTCACGTACATGAACATTCACACAGACAGTGGCTCCCTCTTTTCTGAATCACTTGAGGAAAAACTAAATTTCAAACACAACTCATGCCTCAAAATAATCTTGCATTGTTATTCACCACTCTGGACCTCACATAATCATTTGGATTCAAATAGTGTCCTTTTAGCCCCCACAGAATTATTTGTAGCCAATATTATTCAATGACGTTTTCTAGTCACTCAAATCTTTCTTTGGGGGAAATGGGTTTTGGTCTCTGGGTTACAGGTTCTAGTCCGTTGGTATTCGAAGCGTGAACAGATATTTGCGTGCAGACCAGATTTGTATTTCCATCTGTCTGTTTGATGTCTGATGGGTTTGCTTTGGGGAAAAAGGCGAAAACAGGCTGTAGAAGTCTTGTTCTGCCAAGTTTTGATTTTTGATTTTTTTTTTCAATATAATTTAAGTTGTGGTACTCTGTAAACTGCATCTCAATAAAATTCTCTAAACCTTACATAGCATTGTGGTTCAAAATAAATGTTTGATTATTATATTTTGCATTGTAGGCCCATCATGATAATTATTATATCAACTTATAATTCAATATATGATAGCTGGAACAATATATTTCTGGGTTCAATATTTATCATGTGTACCTTTTTCTTGGATGGAGAGATTTTTTTTGTTATTTTTGTTGTAATACGAGAAGATTAGCTGGATCCTCTGTAGATTCATGTCTGCAGGGCCATGCAAATACCCATATCGGTCAATCTGTAATATCAGTATCTAAAAGTCACTCCAAACTACTCTAATTGTACTGTAATTGTGTGTGTGTGTATTTATATATGTGATTTACTGGCATTATCCTGCTTTTATCATTGTGCCATTACGTAATTTTATTTATATTTCTATGTAACAATATATCATGCTTCAAAACGTGACAGGCCTAATTGTACCTTGTGTTTTGCAGTGTATACGACATAATTGTACTTATATATGTGTACATACATTTACATGCGGAACTTATTACCATATGCACAGAAGGTTATGGTAGTTGGAGGCATGTACATATGTGCACTCCATTAGCACACAACAAAGGTCGTGGGGGTCAGCGAACAGTTGTGGTGGGCTGTTGATGCCAGTGCAGCTCATTAGAGAGAAAAACATTTGAGTATACACAGTCAATGTGAGATAGGAATATAGTCAGGAGATGTATGTAAGCTCAAATCTGTCTAAGGCTCAAGGGCATAGGTTTGCATAGGGACTGTGTGTCACAACCATTTTATTTAAACAAAAATATACATTTATTCCGATATTTTTCCAAACTCAGTATTATTCATTTAACATGTTTTAGTTCATATTTTGTTTATTAGACATTCTGAGATGTATTCAGTGATATGACGACAGGGTTACCCCTGCCGCTATTTCATTGGTTGAAACAGAGTGGTGTCATTAGTGGAGCCAGGAGCCTAAACTGGGGAAGCGGCAGGACAGAGCCAGCACCCGAAGATGGCGGCTTGAGCAGGCTTGAGTGAAGATGCTGCACCAAACTTTGAAAAACTTTTCAAAAGGAACTTTCTTGGCTTCAATTAAACTTGCCTTATAATGAGTTATAATGAGAAAAAGTCTGACTATCGCCACAAGTGCTCCTCCAAAACGGAGCCCTACTGGAACGCTGTTAGCAGCCGGACTCTATTGACAATATTCCATGGAAAAATGTACGGACATTACCTCACAAATATCTCAGTGATACTGTTAAAACTATTTGTCACTGACGATCAGCTTTACAACAGCTAATCAGAGCCCATTGCCTAGCGACAGCTCTTAAAGGGTCCACATTACACTATTTTCTGATTTATGTTATAATGTTGTTTCCTCTTCATCAGTAACATACCTGGAGTTGTGTTTGTTTCATTCACACACGTTTAACACACAAACCCTGCACACATTTAGGTTGAGGTCTTCTTTCAAACAACACTCTGTTCCTTGTGATGTCATGTGGTAATACAGGAAGTGCTCCATTGTGCTCTGAAACTCCATACACCCTCACTAGAACCATTTAGATTATTTCAGCCCTGAAATTGCCAATCTTTACTGAACTAAAGATTAATGTAGCTAACTTGAAAACTACCACTTCATGACAAGGTGGAATAGAGCATGCTGAGCTTTGGAGATGTAGACAGACATAATAAAGGTTTACTGGAATGTGTGTGAATGAAACAAAACACTCTAGGTATGTTTTTGAAGAGGTAACAACATTATAACATGACTTAAAGCTCACAAGAGTCAATGTGGTGTAATATAGGCCCTTTTAAACGGTCAAAATTGCACAGTGTTTCTTCTTTTTGCTTCCTCATTCTACATACATTCTAATTGCTACAGACACCTCCATGTATCTTAGTGTGTTTGTTTTTCTCAAGACATCCTGTTCAGTCGCGTGACACTTTTTTGTGCAATTCTGTCTTTACGAGTGTGAGATAAATAATTGTTGTAAAATGTCTGTGGTCAGGGAACATTTCAAAATCATCTACTTTGCAGCTGGCCAAACACGCTTCTGCAGAAAAACAATACAACTGAGTGTCTCAAATATATAATTTTTTTCTATTTGCGAATTAATTATATACATGATGTGCCCTGACAATGTTTTGCTGAGCTCCATCTGGTACTGTAGCATTCCACTCTCCTCTGACCTTGATACTCAGCATTCATATGGTCCTCAAGTGCTCACGGCTGCATCTTAAAACACTACTGCTCCGATTGTGCAGTGCTCTGGCACTTTTACTATAGAAATTACCTGAATAATGCATGATTTAGTAGAGCTGACTGGGGGGGTAATGAAGGTTTAAATACTTCTTTTTCTTTTTCAGAGCTAAACCATTACGTCAATGCCCAAAAAGTGTTAATTTTGTTCTACCAAATATACTCATAACTAATTATTTAGTTAGCTTTAGTTTCTGTTGATTGATTATATATAACCATGTGTTGTATTTTTAGTAAAGTGGATTTGAAGTGATGCAGTCAGCTGTGTTTGTTCCATAACAGGTCCAAAAACATGTATTTGTATTGTGGGTGGACTTGCCTCTCCACAGATTTGACTCACCTGTTACCTGTCTTGTTGTGGTCACCTGCTTGTCTCCATGGAGTTATGTAGAGAAGGTTTCATCTGTGGTCATCTGGACTATGTTTCTGCAGTCAAGATGTTTTGGCTCCCATTCAGAAGCCATTTTCAATTGATGGGACGTCTTCTTCTTCTACCAAATTTACTTCTGACTTATTATTTTGTTAGCTTTAATTTATGTGGATTTATGTTCTAAGCATTTGTTGTAATTTTAGTAAGGTGAATTTGAAGTGATGTGAAGTTTAAATCCAGTGACTGTATGGTGTATATGGTGGATCTTTGTTACTACATGTAACCTTTCAAACAGATGGGCATGTTCTGCAGAGGCCGCTGCTGTTAGTTCAGCTTGACATTTCGCAGCATTGCCTCTGAATTCCCATTCCTCTGGGGGAAAACAACAGGACGTAGGGCAGCGAGTGTGAAATCAAGTGGATAATGCACACTTCTTAACTTTTCACTTTCTTTGGTGTTTTTAGGGCAGTTTCACAGACTGTACTACATGTGACATGCAGTTTGAGTAATTTTTTTTTTTTTTTTAAATCTATTAAAGCAGGTGTGTCCAAGCTATGGCCCAGGGGCTAAATTCGGCCCTCAAACCAATTTTTCTTGGCCCTCAGACTTTCTGGTGAATTGGCCCTTATAAGTACTTTTTACTCCTATGTTTCTGACTTCTGTTATTCTAACTTGTATAACTAACTATTCTGATGTGAGACAAGCCTGTTATTAAAGTTCTGGCACTAAATTAGGTTATAGTTGCACTTTAACCTCAGTGAGTGAGTGATTTGCAGTATTGACCACTAGTTTATGGCCCTAAACATGGTCTATGTAGTCCACCATGAAAAAAGTTTGTACACCCCTGTATTAAAGTTTTTGTCCTCCTTTGGGTTCATCATTTCTTACCGTGGTTTAGTCTAATTTAGGTCTGATAAAGTCCCAAATTTAGATCTGGTAGTACTCGGAAACACCAAAACGATGGTGTTAGTTGGTTGGAAAATCACTGGTAATGGTATTGCACTTGGTGTAAAACTTCAGAATTATTCTCTACCTCTGGGTGGGTGATAATCCAATAAAAGCCAATAAAAGCTAAATTTGTTCTGATCCCACTAGTTCCATGGTTGAGTTAAACTTTGATAGTAGAAAAACAAAACAAAAAGATGTGGCTCTAAGTGTTTCAAACTGAAGAAAAAAATGATTTTTGAAATAAGGAGTAAATTGCAAAAATGTGGAAAACCCAGATACTCTAATTGAAATGCGGTTGTGTTCCGTACCACTTTAAATTATTCTTTCTTGTGCAACTCCCACTTCAGAGCGACTGGAATTTCAGCCTTTGAAACTTGGAAAATACTACCATTTAATTGGCAAAGTTTTAGTTTGTCCAATCCACAGAAGCCCTTTTTTGTTGGAAATAAGGCCGGAACGGTTCAGTGGTTCCCTGTCTGTCCAAATAACCGTGAACTTCCTCTGCAGTTCTTATTAAAAGTCGACAAAAGCATATTAGAGGAGTTTTCCGGTGTGTCCATCCTGTCAATACATTTCCACCGTGTTCATGAACTGTAAAAGAGCAGCTTGTGGAGGGTTGAGCACAGTGACTGAACAGGTCTGGAGAGCATGGACTTCATCATGGCCGACCCGAGTGGATGTAGCAGAGATGTCAAACGGGAGGCCTCACACTCCTTGCACTGTTGAGCAGACTCTCAAACTGACAGCGCTACAACTGTCAGACTCCATTGGCGTCTCCGTCTGGCTTTTGACTCCAGTCTGTGTTGTGTTGTGCAGCCTGCTCGGCCTGCTGGGAGTCCATCTGCGAGACTCTAGGTAGATTTAACTCTTTTTCATCCATGCTACTGCTTCCTGATGATGCAAGAACTAATCTGGTCACACCTCTGACAACTGTGCATGCACTCATCTGAATTCTGAACAACATTTATGATTTGTGAGTCATTTTAATGGCATTTTAACTGGACTAATCATCCAATATGATACTTAATAACTTTAATGTGACTAGAGCTGAAATGACTAATTTGATTAATCACGATGAGTTGAGACGGTGCTATCCTTCATTCATCCAGGAGTGCTTCAATGTAGAGAGGGTTTCATTTGTGATCTGAACTGTTTTGTTGATTGATGGAACTGGCTTGAGCCATTGTTATCCAGTAAACTAGGGCAGGACAGTTTCACTCTGAAACTCCTCCCTTCTGGAGTTGGATTTAGGCACCCAAAGAACGATAAATGCTCTGTTTCAAGCCACTTAAATCAAGTGGCAATTCAAGTCCAATCTGGATGGAAGCAGAAACATCTTGTTCACAAAAACTATCCAAATGATCACTGATAAAATGTCTCTTCATGATAAGTAGATTATTGAAATAAACAATACATTAAATACTTGCTAAATGTTTTTGGACTATAAATTGACTCTCACCTGCCATATGATGGAGTAGAGGTTTTGTTGAAATAACACAAGATGTTGTACTTTTTGAACACTATCTTTTGAACTATTTGAAAGATTTTCTATCAAGAAATGCCTCTGTTGGCATTCCCCCCCTTGCATTTATTCAGTAACAGGTGAGGGAACCTGTCTCTCCACAGATCTGATCTGTAACCTGTCTTGGTGGGATCACCTGCTTGATATGTAGAGAAGTTTTCATCAAGATGTTTCAGTCCCATCCAAAGCCAGTGACTGGCTTGAACTACATGTTGTCTTGAGTCCAGATGATCACTGATGACACTTTCTCTACACTGTACCATTCCTGGAGACAGAAGTTAATTGCTGTACTGTGGGCCATTCACTACAAGTTACACAGTGCACAGAAAAAGTTGAATAGTGCACGTGTGAACTGAAATCACCCTGTCTAAAATGTCACACGAGCAAAAGGGGGTCTTTGAAGGGCATGTGCTGTGTGTGAGGTTGGCTTGTCTGGGGCAATTTCACCACCACCTCTGTAATTGAGTTGTGTAAACAAAGACAGTCTCTGGTGTCTGGCCGCTTTGAAGTGCACTGTCAGCCCTCAAATCTCACCAAACAAGACGCTGCATGGAAAGGTCAAGACACCTCTCCGTCTGTGACAACCATGTTTTTAGGCAATGACGTGTCTGACAAACTGGGAGTAAAGTAGGTCAAAGTAGAAGAGGAGATCTGTGGAGGAAGAGATGTGTGGGACTGCGTCAGGACAGATACCAGAATTGAGTTCATGAATGATGCATAGATTTTCATTATTCTCATCTGGGCACTTCGATTGCACAGGTAAACACAAGAATGCTGAGGTGGGAGGAAGAGGCACAGAAGGGCGTAGCATTAATGTCTGGAAAGTAATGGATTTTCCTTATATTCCAAATGGAGGAGAGCATTTGCTGCACATAGGTGAAGAGGGGAGGAAAGTATATTAAACTTTTAGAGTTTGAAAGAGGCTAGTAAGTGCTTATGGTGGAAACAACTGAACTTGAACACTGTTGTATGTTTTGGTAAGTCTGCTCCATACAGTAGCAAGGCCTCTCTTTTATCTTCAGTGCAGGGACCATTGGCACAGATTGGCAACCCTGCTTCTATCAGTCTACCCCAGGGCAGTTATGGCTATAGAAGTACTGAAGATTTTTATGTATACTAAGGCCTATATATACTATATCAATTTATCAAGATATTGACTTTGGTGATAGAGCATCGATATTGTGGGCTGCTGTATTATTTTATATATATATTCATTTATTTTGTGACAGTGCAAATTTTGTTGCTTTTTTGTGCAATATATTTGACTTATTCTTACGACTTATGTTTTCATTATTAAAATTGATTTATTTCATATTAGGTAGTGGTTTAACAAAGAAATACTGTTCTAAAACTAATAATAGGATATTACGGAATATAATATGCAATATATCGATTTTCACATATGTCATTGTATTATTGTATTGTGAGCCATGTATTCTACACCGAATCATGATGGACCCTGCGATTCTCAGCTCTAATACTAATAATTCATAATGAAAACTGGGATTGTTGTTGGAGCATTTAGTGACATAAATATTACCATTGTGTTTCCTTGCATGATCACATTGCGGCTATTGTTTGGTTCTCTCTTGTGAAAGTGTGATATTTTCTCTGTGTGGGCTAAAGTTCTGAACAAACGTACTCCCCAATCTACTCTAGTACTTTACACTCTTTCTGAACTTGTCAATAGCATAATTTCACGTATTAGACAACTGACAGCAATTCTGTGAGTTTTACAGAAAGGTACAGATACATACATATAAATATAGCCACAAGTGTCAATGATCGGGTCTCACACTGTGCCCCGCAAACACCATGCCCCACAGACACTGCGCCCCACACCTAACCCTAGGTGAGAACAGTTTTTTGGCTTGTTGCCATGGCATCCAAATTGCATAGGAGGCGCTATTGCACCCATTTTTGTATTTCTTATATCAATCTGTTCAGGGTCTGGGTGTCCACCCACGATTGAAGTTTGAGTGAAATCAGCCCCAGTCTGTGCAATTTGGTGAATTTGGTGAACATGGAGATTTTATACCATCGCTATGGCAGTGGCGTAAAAAATATGGTATGGGTGTCAATGATTTTTTACATCAGAATGCCAAAACTTAATTTTTTGCCAAATTTCAGAAAATTTTGAAAAACTAAATTTTTTTCTCCCCATATTAAATTTTGTTAGGGACAGTAATGTGCCAAATTCAATTTTTTCACATTAAATTGCTTCAGGGCAGGGAGTTTAGCAACTGATTCATATTTCACTGAAATTTGAGTTTGTTTGTGGGACCAATTTGTAAATTTGTAAATTCAAAATTTCCCAAATTTTGGGCACTTTTGTCACTTCACTGAGACCATAAGACACGTGTCAAAAATGTGAAAATCTTTTTTTTTTAAAGCTAACAATCTATACATTTTCGGAACGCTCTGGCTAATTTCTTGAGGATCCCAGTTAATTTCCCGGCCACTAGTAGCATCGCTTTGCGATACTAATAGGCCCTTCACCAGCTTCTGGCATTTGGGCCTAATTACTGTATCTGTACTGTATATACAGTATAAAAGCTGGAGATTTTGAAGTTCATATTTATCGTGTGTACATTTTCTTTGCGTAACTGGGATCTTCTGTGACTCATTACAGATGCAAACTAAGTACTGAAGTCTTTCATTCTGCTATTTATTCATTATTTATTTATTTATTTATTTATTATATAATATTGTACATTTAAAATTGTTTTTGTGGTTTAAATCTGCTCTTAAGTTTTTATGTTAGTGGCATAAATTTGTTTCAGTATTATTGTTTATCATCTATATTTTATTTTATTTCAAAACTTGTTACTGTGACAGGCCTAAGAACAGAATAAATTATAAACAGCGCTTGTCTCACTTATGACTTTATACCACAACACCTCTGTTTTTGTTGCTCCAGTGAATTCATCCTTCACCAATTTGACCTTTTTCAAAATTAATGAAGTCATCTCTTATGCTTATAAAGGATGGCCACTTTAATTCTTCATTCACTCTGAAAAACCCACTCGTAATTCTGTGCTGTTGTAGTCGTACGGACAAGCATACAGGAAGTCACGCCCCAACAGCTGATAGTATGTGTTCCCCCATTCCCACTTTACATATTGTCAGCTGGCCATGTGTCTATGCGTGGTTCCATGTAACAAAGTCATTAATCACATTTGCCATAAACATGCTACAGTGAGCTGCAAGATGTCTCTCTCTGGTTTGTTCCAGGTTGCAGTAGCAGATGCAGCCCGATGGTGTGCAATGAAAACAGCCCAGTCTCACGCTGTTTAGGGCTGGAGCTGTGCAGCTGTATGTCCTCAGCTAACAAGGCAGTTTATATTAACTAACTAGTAGTTGTCATCATTTAAGAAACAAGTAGAACAGCAGTTTTATTACAAAAGACCAATCTCATTAAAAAAAAAAAAAAAAAAAAAAAAAAAGATCTACCGGTACACGGAAAAAAAACATTTGCCATATTTTTTTTCTTCTAATTGATTTAATTGGTCTGTCAGTGTTCGTCTCCTATAATAAGATAAGAGAACCTTTATTTTTCCCACAATGGGGAAATTCCAGTGTTGCAACGCACAGTTATAATAGGGTTTTAGCACTGCAGGAACATTCATTCCTTCGTAACAGCCCCTTCTTTTCCACACACAGGAGGATATAGGGACAGGAGGATATATGGAGACTTTCCATTCAGACAACCTTTTGGTAACACAATGTACAATAATGATTTTTTTTTTTTTTCATTCTAACCCCTTATGTAAACAAATGTCAAGTGGTTAATAATTACATGCTCACATATATAATATATTTGTGCCTCCATTGGGCTCTCAAAGCACTTTACATCAGCATCATTCACACACATTCACACACATTCATACACCAGTGTACACAGAGTCACAGTCACAATGAGTTATGCCTGAAATGCAGTTCAGTCATTTGTGATTAGCTGAAAGGTCCAACATAATGCATTTTAATTTATTGTGTAGTGAACAGAAAGATAGTGGCTTTCAGATTCTTGTTTGTGAGGATGGCATTCTCTCAGATGGAGAGCAAGAGGCAGTTTTCTGTATTGATCAAAAATAAAGGGCCTATATTACGCTATTTTCTGATCTATGCTATAATGCTGTTTCCTCCTCAAAAACAAACCTGGAATTTTGTTATGTTTCATTCACACGTTTAACCAACTAATGCTGCATATTTAGGCTGAGTTTTTCTCTCAAACAGAAAACACTGTTTCCACCTTGTGACATCTTGAAGTAATACAGGAAGTGCTCCACTGTGTTTTAAACTCCATACACCTTCACTGAAATCATTTGGATTATATCTGCCCTGGAATTTCCAAACTCTACTAAACTAAAGGTAAAATGTACCTGTTAACTAGAAAACTACCACTTCATAACATCAATAGAACAGAACAGAGCATTATAAGCTTTGATGTAGATGTAGACAGAATACTAATAGGGTTAATTCAACATGTGAGAATGAAACAAAACACAACTCCAGGTATGTTTTTGAGGAGGTAAACAATATTCTAACATGACGGAAAGCTCACAAGAGTCAATTTTGCGTTATATACAACCTTTAAAGGTAAAAACAAATGTTATATAACACATTTATTATTTTAGTGACTTGGCCCCAGAACTCTATTATTATTATTGGCCAATACAATGTTATATTTTAGGAAACCCAGTAATTGTCTGAAAGTGTGTCTCCAAGTGTCTGAAATCTACCTAATTACATTTTAGGTTATTTTGAGCCTAATTTATTAGCACTAGAAGCCAGCCAAATAGACTGGTAATCATGTGGAGCTGAGAATAGGGGTCAAGTGTGTCTGGATGTAATGATATCCAAATCTCTCTGTACGATATTTACACGATATGCGATAACAAAATTGTGAATAATCCGTTTTCCTTTTAAAATGCTTTGACAAGAAGTTGGTTCTGTTATAATCCAAAGAATTAAGATTTTATCTACACAACTATGTATGATTGACTAGAATGTAGTAGACTTGTAATTCAATATATTGTGATATAATGAGACTTTTGATGAGGTGATATCACTGTATTTTTGTTATTGTTAAATCCCTACGTATGTGGTGAGTGGATGAGGTTTGGTTTATGATACATGCAGCTGAATTCTGGACTAGCTGATGTTTATGGAGAGAGAAAAATTGAAAAAGACAATCATGTCAGTGTTTGTAGACAGAATTTGAAGTTGAAAATGACAGAACAAGTTTTGGTGCTATTTAATGGAGTGAGGTTGGATAGTGCATTGTCACTCCTGAGTTCTCCGGCTGATGTTGTCTTATTAGTCTATCACCCCTCTTTTGCTGATGTCAGCCCGTTTTTAACTGTGCAGTTATGCATAAGCAATGAACCGTCATCGATCATGCCACTTTATGGTTGGCTGAGGGGATGATTTGCACTGTCAGAAAGGTTGACGAAGCAGAGCCAATGTTTTCCTTCATAAACTCTCTATAGTGACTTGAACTAACTCTGCCAGAGCTCATTTTGCTTGTTTATTATGGATATGTCAGCGCTCTGCCTGGAATGTTCCACAGTATGACATTAAACAGCTCTACCTCACATTTATTAATTTATTAAATAGGTGGTTTTACTTCTCAAAAATACCTAGAAAAACAGGCATTATGACTGCGGGTTGGTTTGTCCCTCCACAGATCTGGACTGTAACTTGGCCTGATTTGAAGGTTTAATGCCATACTGTGAAAATATTCCAGACAAATCAATAACATGTCCATCTACAAAAGCATTTGACAGACCCTTCACCAGAAAAGTTACACACTGTACCTTTAAACCTGAAATGCCTACAAAAAAATTAAATTCCATATTTTGTTACCATGTCCAAGAAGTAGCCCGTCTTTCCCATAAAATACAATTTGTTTCCAAGATTTCACAGCAGTTTGGCACAACATTGGCCTTTGTTGTCATTTGTATTGCAAAAGGATCAGTTGAAGAATGGGACTGTGTCAGTGTGGAGATAGCTTTGGACTAAAAGCAATAAACTTTCTAAATGTATAGTCTAGCTGTGCCAAGAACAGGCTTATTTCAAAGTAATTCAAATGTAAAAGCACAGGCAAAAGTCATTTATCTTTGTTCAGTTCAGCTATGTATGTGAATGTATTGATTTAGAAGGGCTGTCTTTGCAGAATTCCCGCTCACTAATGAAAGGCTCAGGGCACTGCTCTCTTCTTTCCTGCTGTATAATCATTATGACTCTCAGTCTCTCTGTCTGTGTGGCTCCTCCGTGTGCATTTGCAGATTTATTTACTCTCACCTGCAGCGCCACAAAACTTATAAAAACAAACAAACAAACAAACAAAAACACGATGTCCAAGTTTACTATAACCACAATCAGAGATGTTCATTTTTGTGTTTTCAGTTCAGGTGTTTGATTCCATTTTGATGTTTTATGTTTTATGTTTAAAATAATAATTACAAAATAGTTTCAGTCACATATAAATTCTAAATGAGTTGATGTTAATGTTTCCATAATCAATGCGCATGCTAAATCTAAGAAAATAATCATTTCAGAATAACATTTAGATAATGACCCAAGTCACACTGCATATTTTGTGTTATGAATGTTCAGTAGATCATATCTTTTACAATAAACATGACAGGAATATGATTATAAATGTCAACAAATTCTTGAGCCTACACATTAATGTAGCCTCTTTAAACGTGTTTATGCATACAAATACTAATACAAATACAGTGTATAAAGGCCGCGCATGGTTCAAACCTTACTATTATCTTTCTTATTTATTATCTTGCTGTTATAAAATGTTGAAGTGAATGAATAGATTAAAGCTTTTAAGATCCATAGGTTTGTGTACAAACAGAATTCTTGATCTGTAATTTCCTTGTCCCTCTGACAGATCTGGACCTGAACTACTTCTGGAAGTGGAGCTTGTTTGAGGATTACCTGCTGTTCTGTTTTGGCTTCACGGTGCTGTGTTCAGGGGTCACTCTGCTGCTGCTGGACTCTGTGGTCTTTGTGGAAACACTGGGGTCCATGGCTCTTCTGTTTGAGGCCATGCTTGGCCTCCCTCAACTTCTGCAGAACTTCAGCAACCGCTCCACCAAGGGCATGAGGTACAGTCGACTCAAACAAATACAACGTTTACAGAATTTATGTCATGATTTCATTTCAGATCAAGGGTAATGGACAGTATAACTCTAGGGGTGACTAACTGGATTTGAAAATGTAAAACTTAGGTTAGTTTTTGTTTCATGGTTGTAAACTCAGTAATTACAGTTATATTAACCATAAAACTGCACAGTTTAATGGCAAATTCTACAAACAATTAACAATAAAACATTCATCAATAATAAAGATAGCATCAAAACTAAATACTCATTTGAACAAATATTGATACTGGGAGGGAAAAATCATATAGATGTTACATAGTTGGACTTTCTGGAATAGTTTTAAAATGGTTGTGTAACAAATTTTGAAGTGCAATGTGTTGCTGAAGAAAATATAGACGCTAAACGATAATTTTAAACAAATTTCTGCCACAGACACAATCACCCTACAGCATTTAAATAAGGTTTAAAAACACAAACTGCAATAAATAAAAAGCAGAATGAAACACTTTTGTTGTTAGTGTGCATCATAATGAGTCATAGAAATTATGTATTCAACTGTCTACAGCTGATCATACCACAGAAAAAATAACCATGTTCTCAAAGAAAAGAAAAAAAGTACTTACTATAAATACTGACCCAAAAATGTATTGTTCCATGTATCATATGCTGTACAGTAAGTCAATAGAGACATTATTCTGACATGCTTACTTTTGCCTTTTACCTCAATTTTAAGTTTTGGACTGTTGTAACATCATATGAACCTGTATGTACCATGTTTCTTACTTCGCAAATGCTGTACGGCCAGCACTTTCTCCTAAAGGCATGTTGGGTTGGGTGTATTTAGTATTCTGATGAAGAAACTATGGTAATAACTCTTGAAATTATATGACAGAATGAAATGAAGCCATAAATGCGCCCCCTCACTCACTGACGAGGATAGATGCATTTCCTCTGATAAATTTGGGTTTGAAATTAATGTTGTATTCATAGACCCGTAAGTCATGTCATCGTTCACATTTCACATTTAACGGTGTGAGACTAATTAAATTAAAAGTTACTATAATACTATGATGAAAAGTACTTTGGAGGCCCAGATATTTCTACACTTTTGCAACTTAATGGGCAGTATTTCTGTGGAAGGTCAATGGTCAGTGTATATGAACCGTCAGTATGAAAAATTTATTGCAATGAGACCTGAGAATGGCCAGGCTTTTAGTGACGGAGAATGTGTGTGTGAATTTCACACTTGTAAGCGTTTGTGAATTATGGGAACTTTTTTATTCTTAGGTCAAGGTTGTTGGATGTTTTATTCATAATAAAGGTGTTATTTAACTGCTACTGTTATTTGATGAATTACTAAAGTAGTTTGACTTTTAAATTTTCCTTGCAATAGGTTGGATTCACGTTTTAGAATTTGATGATTTGAAGATTTCACATGTAAATCTATTGATAGTTTGCAGGGAATGTTAATGTCCTCAACATTCCCAGGGAATGTGACGCTAACTGTAGGCACTGTTCAGTCTTTAAGGACTTCAGCTCAAGTTAGACTTTTAATCTAAGATGTATTTTAGCAGGATAAACTGACTTAGTTGGAACTACAACAAGTGAGTTGATTTGTGTGGTTAAATAACATCCCTCTCAAATAACATTACATAAGCTAGCCAACATTATTATTATTATTATTTTATTTATTTATTTTTTGTATTTTGTAGGAATCGATCTCCATGATCTTGTTGCTAGGTTGGTTAGGAGTAGGGATGGGCATTCGATGAAATTTCTTAATCGATCGTCGGAAGAATTAATGATTATCGATTAATCATTAACGTTTTTATATTAAAATGATCATCATTATTATTACTATCTGCACTACTAATCTGCATAAATAAATTCAACTTTACGACATATAAACCGTAACGACTCTAGAGGAACATCAATCCGTTTGACATTATAATGTGTTTAATTCAGTTTTGCGCAACTCACAGAAACGAAACTTAAAACCAGCGAAGATAAAACTACAGCTCTTGTGTCGCTGATGCGGTCAATTTCTGTCGGATTAAAAGCCATGATTCAGTGAAATACAGGTTAGTGTGACCATATTTGCGTTTGTCAAAACCAGGACACTGTACGGGGGAGGGACATGGGGACTCGTCATCGACATTGCGCGACTCTCACCTGGTAAAACTTTTTCCCACTGGACACCGAAACATGTGCTGCTTTGTACACTGTTCACATGGACTCACACTTGTCCCGAACGCAACAGAAAGCGTGGAATTTCTTGTACAAATCATCGTTAAATACACATTTGTGCTTCGGTACGCTGCAGGCTGACCTACTGTTTGTGTCTCGCTCCTTCTGAGTGCAGAGAGCTACATGTACGGACCCCTGTTTGGTCACGCTACACACAGCAACCTACATTCGGTTTGTCGATTAAAATTAACATAATCGATGAAATTCTTAATGATCAATTATCGATTAATTGATTAATCATGCCCATCCCTAGTTAGGAGGACCTCTGCTAGAGGATTTAGCCTGTCGTGAATGTTTTGTGTTGATTGGGGGAAACCAGAGTACCCTCTGGAAATACACCCAGACATGGGGAGAACATGCAAACTCCACACAAAAAGGCCTGGGGGACCCAGGGATCGCTGTGAGGCGTGAGTGCTAGCCACTCAGCCACCTTGCTGCCTTTTTTCCTGGATTTTTTTTTAGTTAGTCACTCTCACCTTTTTGTTGGAAATTAAACACCTGAAAAAGCCCATCAATACTTGTATTGATCACAGGCTCCTGAAAATTTGTTGTTTAAATCTATTTTATATTTTTGGCAATGTTTGGTAATGTGTGCATTGTGTCACTATGGTAACTGCTTAACGTACTGCCATACACATACATGTAGAGCCCGCCCAACTGCAAAGTATCAACAAGCACAATCAGAGATAGCAACCTGGTCCCCCATGAGGCATCGGTGGGGGCAGTTCATCACCACGGATGCCAGCTTATGAGGAGCCCAGCCCATACCCTGGTTATGTGTGTGCCAACTTGTGTGATGATTGGGTGAATATTTTAGCCCGCAGATGGTTCAGAAATTGCCTATCCTTTATAATGGCGTGACCTTTCAATTGACCTGTGTGACCTCAAATGACCTCGGATCGTCACCAAACTTTGTTTGCGGCATTGGGCACGGGGGCTTGACCCACCTACCAAATTTGGTGACAATTGGTCCATAAATGGCGGAATTATCGCAGGTGGACAGACACACAGAGACACACAGAGAAACACAGGGTGAATACAAACCCTGGTCAACCTTTCGGGGACCAGGTAATAAGAGATTAAGAAATATTCAAATCTAGGATCTACAAATGTTGAACGAAATGTTGATGTCTCTTTAACAGTGTGAATTGCTAAATCCTTAGTCAAGTATCTTTAGATTGGGGATGCATCAGTAGGGTTAACGGAGCCACAGTTTCACTAAATACAGCTATCATGAACCAAACTATCTAGATACATGTTCAGTCATTAGAAATCTGTATCGCTGCTTCCCTAGTTTGGATCCATAAGTGCCCCGTGAGCCCTCTTCACCTCTGCAGGACTAAAATAGCAAGTGAGTACAGTACATGACCTAGCACCACTCAGAGGTCATGCTCATGCTGTGATTAAAATAATGCCCTATTTACACAGTATGCAGTGTGTAAAGGTCACTGTGCATACTGATTAGCCTCTCAGGTAGAAGACTCTAAGATCAATTACGCCCCTAATGGCACAGAACCTCGCACTAATTATGATCATTATTTCGCCATTATGTCCCTTGTCTGTCATCATCAGTGCTTCCTGTACAATGGAGCTGTGCAGGGATTTTGCATTCTCAATATATTACATGCTCCACTTATCTGTGAAACAGTTAGAAATAAGTCATGTTCTGAACAACACCACATAGGAATGAAACCTGACACTTGGGAAAATGAAGATTCTGGTTTCTGCTATTCTAACTTTTCGGTGGATTCTGCTCTAAACTTGTGGTTCAAATGCATGACATTCCTTTGATTTGTTATATAGACAATGTGCATCGTCTAAAACAAAGAGTAGCCTGCTTTTCTCCTTTCTGTCTTTGAGTTGAGGGATCTGTTTATAAAGCAGCACAAGTATGGCTGCCTTACTGTACATTCTGTTTGAATCAAGAAGGATCTCGAATTGGACAAAAGAGCGAAAAGGAAACCCCAAACTTAAGACAGTCTAACTACAGCTGTTAAATTGCGGCATGTGTCTCTCAAATTCTTGCAACATTCAGAACAGAATATACGGTAACTTCTTTTTTTCTAAGTAATAGTTTGGGGCTTCGATTTTTGATTTGTTTGTAAAGTTCTTGTCAACGTGTGTGGTTCTGGGTGGCCAGGAAATAGGTATGCGCCTGGGAATGGGACCATAAACAATAATATCGTTTACTGTGATAAAAAGGGTCGACATAATCGCTCGTGAGACATTTTGTATGATTGTGAAAACCGCCAAGAATGCATAGAAAAAATTAACTTCTCCATGATGTTTTCTTCTAGATCAATGTTGTTTTCACTTTCACTAACAAAGTACAACATTGTAACAGTTGTTTAAATATGGAACCTATTCATAATATTCAAATGATCTTTATCCATGTCTATAATAATTGAGCTAAACAAAAACATCACATTAATTGTTGTTTGATTCCTGTAAAATCTTCAGAAAATATACACAAAATGACTAGAGTTATCAAGCAACTTAAAAAAGCATTACTAATTTCCCATAATCAAAAAATGTTGTTTATTATAAGTGAAAACATCAACTAGTACCGTTATTCTTTGATAGGCTTTGTTCACTAATGTCTTCCTTTTTCATCATCTACACAATCTACACAACCGTATTTTCCACGTTTCTGTTACTGTGAAGCTCTCTGCTCACTCCCTAGACTCTGCCATCATCACAGAGGTACCCAAAGAGTCAGTGAATAATCCCATAAAGTCTTTAAGCAGAGTATTTTA